CATAAGAAAATCGTAACCGGAAGGATTCCTGAAATCGTATCAAAACCGTATCGAAATCATGAAAATAATTATTCCTGGAAATCGGAGCCTGCCAGCACTCTGAAAGTCTTAAATATAGTTGTCATCTTTACTTGGAATCCGTGTATCCACAACTGGAGGCACACTTTCCCAGATCTGGATGCTGATCGCATAGCGCCGTTCATACGCCGGGGCCGAACTTGCAAAGGCATGCTGGCATTACATTATGTTACAGTGTATCATATAGTACATTAAGATATGTAGCTGTTATGATATGCATATAAACCATTTGTTCTAACCTCATATAATATAACAATCACTCTAGGATATCAGAGGCTAACCACTTGCAACCAGCATGACTTGGCATGACCTCGCGGGCGGAGGTGATACTCCCACACGTGGGGAGCCGCGCATGTCGCTTTGGCTTCATCCTTACCCCAAGAAGTGTGCGAGTCGATATGTTTTCACGCAGGCCCTGAGGGAGGTTCTGCGGGCTGCAGAGGCATAGGTTCCCGAGAAACCTCTCGGGGAGAAACTAATCTGGGTTCTTGTCAGGGAGCTTACTTTACGTTTCCATTGTTAAGGAAACCTTGGCCCGATTATTTACTGTAGATCCCTAGTGTGGCAACTTAGATTAAGCTCCTTGACAGAACCCTGTAATTCGGGTCTCGCCGGTTTCGCGTGGTTAAGCCACTGTCGCAGAAGCGGGAGCTCGATGATGCCTTGCACCAAGACGAGGGGCCTTCGGGTTTTGGCTGTTTGCTTTGGGGGTTGTTTACTGTCGGTTTTTTGGGGTTGTTTAAGGTTTATCGGGCTTGAAAAGGTAAAGGTAGACATCACGGGCTTCCTGCATGCTGCAAAGCCATCTGGGAGCGGAAGGGCTCAGTTTCTTGGACTGGCCTTTGCACTGGAGGTGCAGTGCTCCGAGCGTGTGCTGCTGGATGGTCACAAAGCTATATCATCTTTCGTCCTCTTGGACAGTGATAAGCTAATCCAAGTGATGCAACCCTTTCGGAAAGGAAGCTTCATTCAAGCCAGAATCGAGAGAAACTGTCTAAGCCTTGAAGGAAGGAAGGCTCCTCATCTTCCACAGTTTACTGTAGGTCCCCATGCCAGAAGTGTCCGAAGGGTCCTTTTCCGGAGCCCAATGAACCTTTAACAGGCAAGGGAAGTTGCTTCTCGATTCCAGGGCCGGTTTACTCGAGGGCAGAATGTGCCAAGAGAATCTGCTAGGACCTAAGCTAGAAGACCTACTGAAGCACCCGGGTTGTGTGAGGCGTGTCATCATCTAAAAGTTCATCCTGGTGTAGGCCCCGGTGCCGAAAGAGTACTAAAGCCCTGACGACGGTGAAGCCTATGGTGAAAACGAGCACAACTATGTGCTAAACCAATAAACCTCAATGGGAAAATGCTTAGCAACTTCGATGTCTGCATAGTAGGATCAGGGCTCCTTGTACCAGTGTCACACCTGTGCAACCTCGCCTGGCTTGTCCGAGATGTGAGAGGGTAAACCCTGAACCTTGAACCTTAACCGTATTCAAGCGGCTCTTGGGGTCAAATCTAGACCCTACATAGAAGGATACCTAACCAGCATGACGTAGCCCATATCGGACCCTGGCAGTATCCATACAAAGCCCACAAGGTGCCCTTATAGGACCCTTGCAGAGCCCTCTTCTAAAACCTCTGAGAACGACGTCTGGGTAGTTCTCTAAATCGGGGTCCCCTTCTGGGCCCCCGCCAAAAATAGCCCTCCGGCGCCCTTATAAGAAGGACCGCAGAAGGAACCTAATTTAGAGAACTGCCCATTTAGAACTCGTAGAATACTTTTATAGAAACCCTATAGAAACCCCTGTAGATCCCTTTAAGGAACAAAAAGGGACTCAAAATTTAGAGAACTACCCACATCATTGGGATCTCAAGGCTTTCCGTCCGACCATCCCTGGAGCTGCGCGCCGAGGCCTGCATGGACCCAGGGCTCAGGGTTTAGGGTTTCGTATTTGGGAGTTTCCGAAAATTAGGGGTCCTTATTTTTTGGGTCCTTATAATAAGGATCCTACTATTTAGGGTACTATATTAGGGTCCCCTATTTCCGGAAACCCCCATTTAGGCTTTGGGGTAGTTTCGGGCTTAGCATCCCGGAACTTCGTGGCCTCGCTGGGGGTACTGCAAAACTATACTCCACTGCAGGAGGGCGTCAGGAGGGGCTTTGGGGCCTATTGTGACGGAAACAATCTCTCAAGCGTTGATGGGACCATTATAATTATTATCGCTTACAGATGAGTCATATACCCTTGTCATACGACCTGTTCCAACGGAGGAGCTCTTCCTGTGGTGTGGGAATGCAGCTTAAGTCACCGTAGTCTTTCATTGGCTGGAAGGGTGTACGGGGCGTGCGGAGGCTCTTGTCGGGAGCCGGGCCCGGCCAGGTTTTGAGTTTCGGGATTCGGATCCGCGCTCAGTGCGGGAAAGGGGGAACCCTTGCGTGCGGCCTCAACTGCTCAAGCTGCTTTTGTAGGTATAGGTTGGGACAGGCTGGAGCGGCGAGCCAACAACGAAACAGATTTTGAGAGGCTCCCTCCTGTCCCGGATTTTAAAACGTTCGGCCTGGCCCTCTAAAGGAGGGTGGGCTGGCGTCTTGCCACAAAGGCCCCAAACGCCGTAAACCGCGAGAGATAGTTCTGCTGAACACTCCGACTCCGTCGTGTATCTGCTAGACCCCAGACACTGAATGAAAGATGTCCCAGCTCAAGATTGACCTCGCCTCAAGGCTCATTCCCATTATTGCAAGCTTTCCACCCCAAATCAAACACGCGCATACACACGGAGACATGCAGACTGAGCCAGAGTCAATTCCGAGACCCCACATTCCCCAAGCCCGGAGAGCCGGTCACTATGGGTCTCTCCTCCTCACGCTGCGCTCCCAACTGCTTCGATGGCGAGCACGCCACTGGGCTTCAATTTTCATGTGTGTCAAGGCTGTATAGGTAACTCAGCTTTGGGACATCCCACTGCCACCTTTCTGTGAGTCTCAATTCCTGCATCCTCAAAGCCAAAAGAGTGGAAGGGCAGCCGTTCTGCTGAGGAGTTCAACCTCAACGACTCGCGCTTCATTGATGTTGCTTTCCCACCCACCCCGAGTTCTCTTGGAGAAGCCAAGCCGGGCAAGCTTTTCATCACCCAGGACTTGGAGTGTAGGAGTTAAGGGGACAAAGATCTGTGCCTGTCCTGCTTTGCAGACAGTGTGCTGTCTCGGAAGCTAGGGGCGTCTCGTGTAAATGCAGCAATGGAACCATGACCTGAGATCGTATACAACCCAGCCGGGGTGACCCACAGGCGTGAGTAGCAAGGGCGGGTTTGCAGATGAAGACTGGGTTCGTAGATCCTCCAGAACTCGCCACACTTGAGTGTCCGAAACACGCCCTTACACCTGTCCTCCACGCATCCCATCAGTCCAGCCACAGACTTTCCGCACCCCCGTACTCCCCAAAAGCCCCCAAAAGCAAAAGCCGCTTCAGCCCCGAAGCGCCCAAGACTCCTAAAGTGTCCTAAAACCCTAAACCCTAGGTATCCGAAACTCATTGTTTCTCGCCGACTTCTGCCACCTCTGAACCCTCGCCTGTCTTGTCCGAGTTGTGAGAGTGTAAACCCTAAACCCTAAAACCCTAAACCCTAAACCCCACTACCCTAAACCCTAAACCCTAAGCCACGAAGCCCCCTCCACTCCCAGGGAGCCCCTGGTAGCCCTAAGCCCGAAGATCCCAGACTGGGGATCAGGAGCAGCGCGAGAAGACCCGGTGGGTCCGAGTTCCCGAGCTCCTGCAGCTTGAGTGGAAGAGCCTGGGAGGGGCGGGGGGGTGTCCTTTTAGGGTTTTCGGTTTAGGGTTGTTAGTAGGGTTTAGGGTTTCGGTTCAGGGTTGTTAATGGGGTTAAGGGTTTTGGGTTTAGGGCTTCAGCTTCAAATTTCGGGGGGTTGCTGTTAAACATGGGCGTTCTGTCGAGGCACTTCAACCAGCAGATCACAGCTGCCGAGTTCTCCCAGAAGCAGCAGTCCGAGCTGACTTGGACAGGCGCGGGAGATGGGGCTTCAGTTGCTGTCATCGGGGCCTTGGGGTCTAAACCTAAACCCTAAACCTTTGAGCCTGTGAGCTCCACGGTTATAGTTTCACAGCCTGACACCTGGCAAGCAACACGGCTTCTGTAACTTGGAGTGTTTGTGACAACATAAGATCTTGCAAGGGCGCCACCCCATCACGCAAAGGTTTGCGCAATTCGATCTTCAAGCACCCGTCGTCCTTTTGCCGGGTTAGTGGGGAAGCTGGGAATCCTGCCCGAAGTTCACACCTAGATGCCAGTGTACAGTCGCAAGCTCGAAGGTCCAAGTGCGAGAAGACTCCTGGAATCGGAGCCGAGCCCGGCTCGTTAAACTAGGACTTTGCCGCTTTAGCAATGGCGGAGGGTGAAGATGAGATCCCTGACGCCCCAGTCGAGGAGGAGGAAGGGCGAGGCGCAGCACCGCCACCGCAAGAAGCAGAGGTCGGAGGAGGCGCAACAGAAGCAGAAGCACCTCCCGTTGCTGCTGAAGGTGCGGTGCAGGAGGCTGCACCGCAGGAGGCTGCACCGCAGGAGGCTGCACCGCAGGAGGCTGCACCGCAGGAGTCTGCACCGGCGGCGCCGACAGGCGAGGGCCCTGGCGAGGCTGCAATCGACCTTGTCATTCTGCCAGAGGGCTATGGTCAGACCAAGCAGATTGACATCGACCGACCGGTGGGAAAGATTCGTGGTGACCTGGAGGCAGAGTTGAGCATTCCGGACAAGTCCCTGTATCTTATGAATTTGTCTGGTGCTGTTGAGTTCAAGCAAGTGCTGCCCGATGAGAAAACCCTCCGTGATCTGGGCCTCAAGCCTGGAGATCGGGCCGGAATCGAGCTCCGCATCAACTACTACCAGGAGCAACCTGCCGAGGAGTACGTGATGCCGGACATGCTCGACCTGAAGGTCGTCAACGAACACGGCGAGGAGAGGATGGTTACAGTTCACGTGCAAAGGCCTGTGATGGAGAAGCCATACCTGGGCGGTTTCCGGAACAAAGCGACGGACTCCATGTACCACCATGCAGTCAGCCAGACAGCCCCGGTGCAGAAGAAGGATGTTCACACGCTCCGTTTTCATCGCGAGGCACAGACCTACGAGTACCGGACGCGCTCGACGCAGTGCAAGCGTGACAACGGGACGCAGATGGACAAGGTTGGACTGTACATCGACACCCGCGGTGACAAGACGATGGAGCCTCGAAGACCCTACTTCAGCAGCGCGGACAAAGCAGCTCTACTGCTCGAGAAGTGCGTGATGATCCAGTGTCACGCCAGAGGCATGCTGGCTAGGAGGCGCACCCGGCAGTTGCGGCAGATGCGCCAGGAGCGCCACGAGCTGGCGCGGAAGGAAGCAGAGAGAAGGCAGCTGGAGGCGGACCTGCGGCACAAGCGGGAGGTCGAACGCCGAATGCACCCCCGAACCTTCGAGGACTTCAGCGTGCTCTACAAGGAACTGGAGGCTTGGCGCGTGAACGAAGCCGCTCGAATCCTGAACTCCGGTTTCGACGAGGCCACACGTCGAGCCGCGCAGCATGAGCTCCTGCGCAAGGAGACGAAGCTTCTGCAGACAATTGACAAGCTCAAGATCCAGGCGCACACCTCGAATCGAGATGCGAAGATCAAGAGCAAGCTCGAGTCGATGTCACAGCCGAAAGTTTGGGCGCAGGGTGATGGCGAAACCACCACTGTCCATACCCCCTTCACCACCAGAGCTAAGGAGCTCATGGATCTCTATAGCGGCCTGAGACTTCCTTTGCTGACTGTCGATGAGCGCCTGGACGTCCTGCTACACGTGAAGTGGACTGTGAAGGAGTTCGACTGCAACCTGACGCGTGAGATGGTCGACTTGATTGACAGGGAGGCCGACATGCTGAACAGAGGGCGGCCAGAGAAGTCCTTCGTTGGTCTTCGTAAACGCCTGGCGAATCTGTTCCTCCAGTTTATCGAGACGCCAGAATTTAACCCAGAAGCCGTGAAGTTCCAGAAGGTCTCCCGTGAGTTCTATGACCAGACTGGCACACATCCACTGAGCACTGTACCGATAAAGGCCTTAGGCAGCTGAAAGTCTCGGGTCTCAGCAGGCCTATACCGTCAACTTGAGGTTTACTCCCGACCGGTAAGTAATCAGCAGTGGATGACGGCTGCTTTGACCATTTGTGGGTTTCTCCTTGCGCAGCTATCGGCCGAATCTAGCCAAAGAGAACATGATCAGCCATTTGTTTTGTGACACACTATAATGCTCTCACAACACTTGACGCTGTTGGTGACATGTGCGAAATTATACATCTCCGAGTCAGTTTCACATCATCATGGGCTTGCTTGCTGCTGAAGCTGGTGGCTCCTGCCCTGTCGTCTCACCAGAAGTCGTTCTGCGCAACAACAAGCTGTATGAGCTCATGACTTTATGAACTGATGCAGTTGCCTTGTCATATGTTGTGTCGGTTACTAGTAGCACGCTTGTGATTATCTGCAGGTCCGTTACCTGCAGGTTTGGATTTTGTCTTATGGTGGCCGGTTCCTGATGTGGGCATAGTTTGGATGCGGTTGTATTGCAGACCTAAGACATTGCCTGCTTTCTGCGAGTCGAGAAAACACCCGAGTCGAAGCGGGTAAAACCGAATGCCTCCCCGACGATGTATTGAAAATGATGAAAATAAGGTTACGCGAAACCACCAGAGGGGCCCGAGGAAAGAACTGTCCTTCAGGTATGAGCTCAAGCGATCTCGCCCAAGGCACGTGGGCGAAGCATCGGAAGTTCTGTGATTAGCTAAAGCCTGTATGATCTGTAGGGACGACTGCACGGAAGCCATGCGCCGAGCAATCACCCAACAAAAGACTTTCGAATTCACGAAGTCCTTGCCTTCTGAGGCGAACTGTGCCCTTCTAAAGTACTAGATGGGCTTTTCCATGCTTTTGCCAGGCTCTTTGGGCAACTGCTGGCTGGTTGCTACCATCGCGGCCTTAGATCCATGGCTTGTCTGTTGGTTTCTGGGGCTGACAGGGTACATTCTATAATATGCTTTACTTAATATTCTTACAATCATAGCAATGGGATATGACATGGTATCCTTGACTTGCGGTTCTGGCTTGTGGTGTTGGTGGTGTGATCGTGAAGTGATTGGATTAGAGCGTCAAAAAATGATGACCGTGACGTACAAAATGCCGCAAAGACGGGAGCAATACCAGAACTTGCACGCACACACACACACAGACAGACACACAGAAATCTTGACAAACAGTCTCAGGTTCGTAAAATGAGAAGCCACAATCGTTTACAATCGTCACAGAGACACCATCCACCACCGCCAGAAATGCCGTCATCGCAGCAGTGCCTTACGCGCAATGAGAATGAGAATGGCAATGCCAACAGTGCAGCAAGAGCCCGCTGCTGTGCCTGTGCATGATCCCCGGGCGGATAAAGACGATGGCATCGAAACTTGAATCAAGACCGGACTGGACTTTGGAATCTGTATGACGCACTCACAGGGTCTCAAGAGCAGCGGAGGCCCAAGTGCCGGATCCTAAAGTCAGCTTTGAATCTGTACAAACCTCTGTAGAGCCCTAGAGCAACTCCATGGAATCCTCTACAAAACTCAGAACCCTAGAGCAACTCCATGGAATCCTCTACAAAACTCCACAGCACCCCAAAACACCGTGTTCTAAGCAGGGCAAATCACAGGCCCGGCGGCCGGGCGCGGTGCGTCGCCTCTTCGTCGAGGCCGACCCGGCTGCAGGCCGGATCCTTCCCACATACAATAATATAGGCTAATATTATAGGTATGATATGGTATATTGGTATTTGGTATATAGGTATGATGATATACTTTGTTATAATATACCAATATACGATAGCCATATATTCTATAAGGTACTACAATATAACAGACTTTAGTATGGTATATTATCGTAGGCGCCCTAGAACCCTGTGAAGGGTCCAGGGGTTTCTCGCTGGCTGACACTCAGATCCCGGCTGCAAAAGAGTTTTGAGCCTTAGGGTTTAGGGGGGTTTCAGAGACCTGGAATGCAAAACTCGGTTTAGGGTTTGAGGGTTTTGGGTTCAGTCAGGAGCCAGGAGCTTGGCTGAAGGCATTCAGGGCTTAGTGCATTGCAGTCCCTGCTCAACAAAAGGGTTTTGGGTTGGCGGGGGGGTGCTAGTGTCTCTGGCATGCTGTGTCCACTATTGTTCGTTTTTCGGTGCGAATTCGCTCTGATAACCCGGCAAGACCTCGGAAAGCCTGGCGGCAAAGGGGTCAAGGGTTTAGGGGCCTAGGTATGTATCCCGGTATCCCGTAGAGTTACACCGAAAGTAGCAGCCCTTGTATTAGGTATAGAGCTCCTTCAGAGTGCCTCGGGGCATCGACGTGGTTTTATCCGAGCTGCTTCTGTGAACCAGGCTGTTTCCGAAGCGTCAGCCGACCTTTCCGAAGCTCGCATGTCACAGGGTTCCCAAAAGGCCGAGACAGAGTTACAGTTGACAGTAAACCCCGAAAGAAATCGAGCATGGAGTAAGGACACTTTCGTGCTGGGGTTCACTGTAGTCTGCTACTCTAAGGGCATGAGGACAGAGATATTCCAACTTTCTGGCCCCTGCTCTAGCGTCCAGCCATGAAACCTGTAGAGACCACATAGGGGCCTTGCTAACTTTCAGAAGCATTCCTCAGGGTGGTTCCTCGTTATCCTTCTAGTAGGTAATTCTTTTAGAAGCATAGGAGTTCCTCGTTATCCTTCTACAGTAGTATGTAACACAGGCCCAGTGCATATTCTACCAGGAAGGGTTAAGGCCTCTTCAGGCCTCGATGTTACGAGCAGGTCGCTTCACAGTCCAGCTCTTTGACATGGCTTCTGGCCGCTGGGAGTTGGTGGAAGTGGACGATTTCGTGCCCTGCACCATGGAGGAGCCTAGCATCAGAGACCCCCCAAACCCTATTTTAAGTGACAAAGGCCCCTTATGCTCTGCCAGTAGAGCTGTTGTATATATATTCATAGACACCCCAAAACTTCATAGACCCCCCAAGCCCTATTCCAAACTACAAATGCCCCTTAAACTCCCTTTGTAGAACCGTTCACCATCTTGCAACGCTTTGCACGAAAGGACGACTGGTCCGATGTTCCCTACGAGGAGCAGGTGGGGGAAGAGACAGAGTGCACGTATTCTAGCACGTTCGGAATGTGGTGATGAGGACATGGCCGGAAGTTCAAGCATAATTAGCACCTGTTCAGGGTTGTACTAGCCGCGTTTTTCGCAACCTTGGCGGCCACAGGCTGATGGGACGAGGGTCTACAACTACAAAGACGTCTACACAGAGCTTCTTGGCCCGAGGCGTAGGCATGGAAGAGGTAGAGTATTCGGCACTTCCGGAAGCAGAGAAACAGCGCTGCAGGGTATGCTTGGGTTACTTGGGTAGAGGTTCGTGATGTGACGCAAAGACCTCAGACCTCAGCATTACGCATCATAGCTAATGCAGGATCCGAGCCTGGTTTCAACATACCATGATGCATGAAAAAACACATGTATGTATGTCGGTGGTAGGTATATATATATATATATATAGAGAGAGAGAGAGAGAGAGAGGGTATACAATATACACACATACATAATTTGCCCTTGAGGATGGTGGGGCAGAGAGAGAGAGAGGGGTAATGTGTGTGTATAAATATCAATACATGATAATAAAGATAACAATAATAATAACAAGAATTATAATACATAATAAATAAATAAATAAATAATATATATATATATATATGTATATGTATATGTATATGTAGACAGAGACGGGTTGCCAGCTTCAGAAGCTTTTGCGAACCGAGGAGACCAGTCAGTTTGGGTGCCGGGCTTGTGCATTTACTTACCGCAGTCTCTGGCAGCAGCCCCCCAACCAGCCTACGTAGCATACACAAGCCGGCGCAGGCTTAAACTCATCCCTCCCTCTTGTCGGATTTGCATCGTGGTTTAGGAACGGCTGTAGACCCTAAACCCTAAACTAAACCCTAAACCCTAAACCAAATACTATAGGCCCCAAGCCCCTGAAACCTTCGCCTTGGCGGTAGCCTGTAAGGAGTGGCCACAAGCGCCTCCGAAAGAAGTGGGTGCCCCTCTTTGGCCGACCCAACGGGCGACAGGCGGCACTGGCGACTTGGGGTGTTCGGGGGAGGCGAAAAGTTCGCGGGGCATTCAGAGATTCTGGGCAGGTGGGTTGCAAATATCCTGCCTGCAATGCTCAACAAGAGGTATCCGAGAATATTTGTGCCTCGAAGTGACCTAGCTTCTTCTACTCAGATTAAGCATTTAAGCCTAAACAAAGAAGGAAGCCATGGCATGTTGTGGGTGAGGAGGCTCGGAGTTTTGAAGTCGGTCGTTCGGTTGTGGAGAGCCTCTCCCGCTCTGTCTCTCCCTCTTTTCGAACACCCCGGCCCCAGAAAGTCCTACACTACGAATCCCCGGAACCTCCAAGGACATGCCAAACCCAGAGACTCCAATACCCCTTAATTAAGGAATATACCCTAAATTATAGTAGGATCCCTAATATGATTTAAGGTATATTCCTTAATTGAGGGGTATTGGAGTCTTTGGGAACTTCTAGATGGGACGGGGGGGAAGATGCATTCGTCCTGCAGGTCTGGGCCCTGATCCTGGAGAAGGCCTCGGCCTTTTACGAGAGCTCGGTTTCGGTTTTAAGTTTCAGGGTTTTCGGGCCAGGTATCAGGTATTGACGGTCGGTTTCGGATTATTCATAAGACGACCCTCGTTTCTGCAACTGGCTTCAAAATGCCACTTCACGTTGGCCTAGATGCGAGTGCGCTTGAGTGCTGCGGGGCTTTAACACTACTTCTTAGAATATTTTTTTCTTGGTGCTTTTGCGGAGCCGGAGCCTTCCGTGCTGGCACTGCGGGCGCCCGCCTCGAGCTATAGCAGCGGAGTGCTGAGATGTTCTCGTGCTGTGCTGTCGTACTGGGCCCCGAGATCACATTCAGAACTTCGTGTGTAGCGTCCATACGATGCCTTCAGAAATTGTCAACATTTGCCCGAAGCAACATCTCTTGCTATGACGGGACCCTCTTTTGTTCGGCCTTGTAGGGCCTACCAGTACAGGGGAGGCGAGTCAACTGGCAAACCTTAGCTGGCCGTATACTGGAAACAGCAGGATCAAAAGGACCAGCGAGTATGAGCTGATATTCATGACAAGAAACTGTGCTAGTAGTGACGAAGTCTCTCTAACTATCTCGCTCTCTCACTGTCTCACTCTCTAGTGTCTCTCTTGTTTTTCACATCTAAGACCCTCAAGACCCGAAGCCCCAAAGCCTTAATACACAAAAGGTTATGGTTTCGATTTTGCTTCTGCAGGCCATGGCCAAGTTCGTGGGCTCCTACGCCAACCTGTCCGGGGGTACAGAGCCCTTCGCACTGATGGCGCTCACAGGCTTCGTGGTGATCGAACTAAGTGGTTCTTTAGTCGTTCTGGTGTGGGGGCTTGGGGTGGGGGGGGGGGGTAGAGAAGGTCTTGCAGAGGAGATGCAGCATCCAGGATTCCGAGAAATACTTTGGCTCAATTGCCTGGGTGACATACTTCGAGGGCCACACTTGCTCTTTCCTTCAAGTGGAACTCAGATTCTAGCAGCTCGTCCGAACCATCAGAATAATTCATTTGTAGCAAGGGCAGCAAGAGTTTTGGTGCGTATTTGTATGTTATCCAGTTAGGCACCCGAGCTTGAATATGCGTGAGACAGTCGCGACTGCTTCCTTGGGCTCCTTTTGAGGTTTTCCGGTGGTCTACGTGTTCCAGCGGCCGGCCACTGACGATGCCGAGCTCCTCGAAGATGTTGAGTTCCAGCCCGTGACATCATGTCTATAGTGAGTCCAGTCAGTCCAGTGCATGCCCGCTGCATGTTTGAAAGTCCACGTTGCAGCTGGGATGGCCTTCGTCGTGGTAAGGACTGCAGCCTTCAAGAACCACTGGGAGTGGAAGGGCGCGCAATATGCCAGTCGAACGAACACCGGCATCGGCTCGAGTCGTTTGAGCCATGTTCCAGACGACCTGCTGGATGAGGAAATCTGGGAGAAGGTGGGGGTTTCCGAAAATTAGGGGTACCTTATTTAGGGGTCCTTATAATAAGGATCCTACTATTTAGGGTACTATATTAGGGTCCCCTATTTTCGGAAACCCTCAGGTGGTGAGCTACATCGCTCGAATCTGGGCAGCACTACTCGTAGCGCAGTAGAGGCTCCTGGCTGCCGTCACACAACCGGTCTACGAATGAATAACAGGCACGCTGAAACGCCTTTGACTTGGGGGCATGCTTTAGTACCACGATCCCCTAAACAAAAAAATGTTACTGTATGTATCCTTCTTAAGAGCATGCCGCAAAGCCTTCGCTTGTTCTAGGCATTATAAGCGGCTCGTGCGATGCCTGATTGAACATAAGGAACCTGTCCAGTGACTGCATCGATCACTCGATTTCCGGCGGCCAAGGCTGTGCGTTCCTTGGTCTGCATCATGGATCGGGAGCTTCTTTGCCCAACTCACCACTTCGTGTTGCCATGTTCATGTTTGGAAACATTTGCTGTGGGGCAGGGAAGAATAAAATCAGCACTCAAGAGCACGCCGATCCAGATTCCATGTGGCCGAACAGAACACGCAGCATGACCGTGTTGGTTTCAGAATTTGCTTGACCGTCTCATGCCTGAAACTGACATGCCGAAATATCGTGCCCGAGGTGATTACTACCGTCCGGACGGGCTGATCTCCGGCCACGCGTATGCTGTATTGGATGCGAGGGAGGTCATCTTGCATACTGAAACTGGGCTGAGACAGTGTGCCAGTCCTGACGATGTTTTCGATCATTTTGCAATGGTGCGTTCGTGTGAGTCGGTCGGAACGTCATGCCTATTCCGAGCCTTCGTTTGTTTTCCGCTTCACTCAATATATATATATATATATGTATATATATATATATATATATATCTCTCTCTCTCTCTCCATCGGCTCTGTCTCGCTCTCTCGGTCGTAATCGCCCTGTGGATGCAGGTTGCAGGCCATGTGAGCAGGGAGGGTATCATCTATTTATTGCAGTTGTCCACAAGAGATTCTAAACACAGAGGCCTGATACCCCATTGGGCTGTATGCACTGGTACCTCGTACTTCCCTACATGAGCAAACTGCGAATAGCAGCAGCAGCAGCAGCAGCAGCAGCAGCAGCAGCAGCAGCAGCAGCAGCAGCAATAGCAGTAGCACTAGCAGCAACAACACTAGCAGCAGCACAAGTGGCAGTAGCGTAGCAGTCGTCGTAGTCGAAGTTGCTGCCAGAGTGGGATTAGCAGCGGCAGTAGCGGTGGTGGTGGTGGTCGTGGTACCGGTGGTGGGACTGGTGGTGGTGGTGGTGGTAGTAGTAGGAATTATGCTGCTACTACTACTGCTTCTACCACCAGGACTACCACTACACCACCACTACCACGACCACAACCACGACCGCTACCACTACCAACTACCAACTACTACTACCACTACCAACTACTACTACCAC